GTGAGTACTGCCCCGCCTCGTTTTCATTGTCATAACCTGTTTACTTGTATGTAATTAACTGCATGTTTTAACCTATGTAGCTATACCCCTTATTCAATAGCTTTTACAGAGCATTTTCAAAATAGAATGCTCTGTGTTTTTATTTGTGTTATGTTATTGTTTCATGTATGCGCCTTATGACTGCTGTAGTCGATGTCCATATTTGCTATGGTTTATAAGTCATTTTGTAGACCGACAATTTTGGTTAAAGTTATTAGTTTGTATTAGCTTCTACGGTCTATTCTACAGATCTAAAGTGTCGTAAAGACATAGTGTTATTGTGCTTTATTTACTTAAAATAGTTATGCAGATTGTATGCTAGTTTGCGTTTGTCGCTTAGCGTTAGAAAATATAAATCGTACTCATGTAGACGTAGCGATCCATGGGGTAGATAAAGTAAGATTGTGGCGTAGGCGGGATTGTGTCATAATGGGTTTTTATAGATCCAGATCTAAATCTATATCTCAAATAATAATGTAAGTGTTGAATAATTAGTAATAATTAATTTGTAGTTGATAATCATTATCTTTTTTTTCCCCACAATATTTTTTTATTAAAGAAATATGTGGGTAGGTCTATGCTGGGAACGTGACCACTACCGAACTCGATACCGTTTGGTCAATACCCGTGAACTCTACCATTCGACCACGCTCTTCCTTTACCTGAATGTTAGATAAAAGATATGCTTTTGGTTTAAATGTAACATGCGTCTCCTTTAATTACACGTAAGATTTCAAAAAGTTCTGCACAGATGGGTTTGACATTTAAAATATATCGCTTTTACTGATCAATATAACTTTTTCGTAATTATTTATCTTCTGATAATCAAGATTTAGTATACCCTCTTGAATTCTTCATTACTTCTTTTAGCTTTAAAAGTTATTATTAATTGCCTAAATAAAAGTACACTATGTTTACGGTTTTAAGAATGTGTGTAATAAATTACTGGAGATGCGTTTATTGCTGAAGAGAACTGAAAGCAATATAAAATGAGGAGTCTATAAAGTCTTTTTTTAGTCGCACTTTACTGCAGCACAAAACATGAATTAAATATATTGTTGTATGGGCGTCTAGGATATTTTAAGGACAAAATGTGACAGAAAAATTGTGTAACCTAATAAGGTTACCGTCACATTGCAGTGGGTAATCGACTTACATGTACAACTTACATGATAAATACACTTACTAAAGTGCAGCTTGCATGTTATTGGAAATTACATAGACATGCAGGATACATTACATAGACATGAAGTATAGATTACATAAACATGAAGTATACATTACATATACATGAAGTATACATAGACATGAAGTATACATTACATAGACATGCATGATACATTATACAGACACGCAACACAGAACTACATAGACATTCAGGATATATCACATACATGCTGTATATGTCACATACATGCAGGATACATCACATGGACATGTAGCACAGTACGATACAACGAGAACTCAGTCAACTAATTGCTGTGAGATTTAACTTCTCTAACGTTACAGTTTTCTAAATCGTGACATTGTTATTTTTTGTATTTACTTTCCACAACTGTTATTGTAAATTAGTATCGAGTCACACTCGCTGTAAGACAATAGATCGAAACTAAAATCAACAATACTAGTATCAGTGCCTCGTCCTTAAAAACATTTCTGTTCATTAACATAGGTGTTGTATTTTTTTACTAGCAAACAATAGGGTTCGAATCCCAAAGCCTCGTTAGCTAACACGATTCTCGACCAAAAATTACTAGGTTTGTCTAGGCAACAGTGTTCGTATCTCTAAGTATCACTCAAAGGACAGGGTCAGGGTCATTCGAAGACAGGGTCTGAGGTCACAAAAACACTATTACAAACAGGGTTCGCGTCACATAGCTTTGCCAATAAACAAAGATCGTGCCCAATAGCACTGATAAACATTTGAGATCATTTTCCCAACAAACAATTTCTTAACGACTGCAATTAATTACCGTAGCTTCTGCCCGACTCTCCTAATTAAAACAAATGTCAAGATTCATCAACCCTGAATAATTGCTGACAATAGCTTCATGCATATCTGCGTGCTGGCATTTCATAAGCCCATTGATAAACACAATTATGCTGAAATTAATTACACACGTCCATCTCGCCTTGTCTGGGTTGTCGTAACAAATGTAAATATATGCTAAGATGTCTCAGCATACATACGGGGAGGTCGAGTTGATCATAGAATATAAATCTAGACAAGTTGACTTCGTCAATTTATTGTACGGAACCTGGAATGGCAGGCCATGAAACTTGAAAGGAATCAGAGTGGTCGGGTCGGTAAAGCTCAGGGTTGATAAACCGGAAACCGGAAAGTCCCCGGGCAGATGAGACTCGAAGGTAACCCAACTAGGAGAGACAACTCCAAAATGACATATCAACTGTCTTGTAGTTTGTTCTTGGTTGGACAATGGCTATGGGAGTAAATCCGATCGAGATTTTGAAATCGTAGTCAACGGCCCTATATGGCGCCTAACTTGTTGACACGTAATACTTAATTGTTTTGGAGGAAATCCCTTCTAACATTACATTAGAAAGAACGAAGAAAAAGAAGAATAATAGACCAAATTCGACACAAAAGCTGCGATTAATGATCAGAGGGGTTGTGTATGCATGTGTTGATTCCTGAGTGTGTTTGTTCTGTTCTATTCTGGTCTCTTGTCTTCTATTATTTTATTTTGTTTCGTTAAATTCTTTAAAAAAAACACTTTTTAAAATTATGTTTTGTTTTGCTTTTTTTTTCAACTCTGATCTTTTCTGTTAAATACAGTTGTGTTCTGTATTGAGTAAATTAGTTTTGCTTTTTACAATTCATTTCCTTCTGTAGTGTTTTGTTTTTCTAATAGTAATAATAATAATAATAATAATAAAATACTTATAATTTCTCTCGACAATCAAAATTACTTTTTAAAAAATCACATCAGAGTACACCAACACTAAAGTGAACTTCAGTAGCCTACACCCTTAAGTTCCTGGCCAACTGTATATTTAGACTCACTCGAGAGAGCAATCATATATAACAACAGTCACTGCACCGCCAACTGTATATTTAGATTAACTCTCTGGAAAGCAATCACATATAATAACAATCACTGCACCAAGCTGATTGCTCGCTAGGTGGCCAACATATCATTAATGTTAATCATTAAATGTCATTAGTGTGGTAAACCCCACCAGTAGTAAGTCACTATTCTCGACCTGCTGGTATGAAATTAGACGATAACCAACACAAAAGTAGCGATGTAAGCCGAAGCTCTTCATGTAGCGAGGGTAAGGAGTCAAGGACAGGTCGTAAATTTGAAATGAAGACCTTCATTATCTTGCCTCGCTAGACGTCACAGGTGAATAACTGGAGTGTCCATCAATTTTTTTTTATCTAGTGCTCATCTGTCTGTCTGTTGGTTTGTCGAGCTTATTTTACATTTGTGTTTCTTCTTTCTCTTGGTATATATGTAAGATTCTCACTCTCCTTCTCTTCCATTGCCTCACTATCTCACTCTCCTTCTGTTGCATTCTCTCACTATTTCGCATTATCTTTCATTACTCTCTCATTATCTCTTACTATCTATTTCTTTCAGACTTTCTCTCTTCAGTTTGCTTTGTCTCGTTTACTCCGTACTTCAGTACTTGTGTGATATGAATACATGTGGTGATATGTGTATATGGTAAATATATGTTATATATATATATATATATATATATATATATATATATATATATATATATATATATATATATATATATAAATGTATACATATACATATACATATACATATACATATACATATATGTATATATAGAGAGAGGTAGAATTATAAGTATATATATAAATATATATATATATATGTATATGTATATATATATATATATATATATATATATATATATATATATATATATATATATATATATATATATATATATATATATATATGAATTACGCCCGTCTTACATTCTGTAGTCCCTTACTGTAAGTACCATCCTCCTTATTAAATGTACTCCTTATTAAATCACTGGCCATCGAGTGACCACCCAGTTCTTTGGTCCACTAGAGCCTACCCACAAGACACCCCCCCCCCCTACCCGCTCTCGTCTAATTCAATAGAGACTCCAGCCCCCGTCGACGATGTGTAATTTGATAAAGTCATGTCATAAGTCATCCTGACTGCGGCAGAGCCTGACTGAGCACGCTACCTGGCTAATTAGTATTTCTAATTCAGGGGCCGGGGCTGATTTAAACAGCTCACCGGGTAAAATTAGTCACGGATTTAATTTTTTTTTGTCTGCGATGCTAGAGCTATCTCCCCTTGTCTGACGTCACTAATCTCATTCGCTCTTTGAATCTCTGTCAAATTTTTTTTTTTAAATTAATTTATAAAAAAAATATTTAATTTGTAAAAAAAACTATGTTTTGTATGTAAATGAAAATTATTGTTTTAAAATAAAAACAATTTCTGAGTCTGTATTTCGGGATCCGGACAAAAAGCCTTATGTCCTGTCGGCCTTTTGTCCTTGTCGGCCTTTTGTCCGTGTCGGCCTTATGTCTAGTCGGCCTTTTCGATGTCGGCCTTTTGTCTTACACCCCTGTATTTCGGTTCTTATTAAAACGTTTTAGGTGCTGTTAATTTGTTGGTTACACTGGCATATTTGTAGTTCTGGTCATAGTACTGACGCTGACCACATAGTGTCACAAGGCGGGGGAGGGGGGGAGTGCGGTTTTCACCAGGTGATGGGTACCTGACTCACCTTAAGGAAAGTAAAGGTTGCTGGGCATAGTGCTGACAACACCATCCCTTCCATTGCCAAGGTCTAGAAACAGATGAACTCTACTTTACCTACTATATGGGTAGTTAGGTTATGAAAGGCGAACTTTACTGTACCCCCCCCCCCCCTCCACACACACACACCTCCTTAAATCTTTCCCCCCCCCCCCC